GTTGTAAACAGATATAAAGTTCACATTTACGTTTTAGATTATCATGTTATTTGTTCCTCAGTTATTTAGTCCACCACTTTGTTTGTGATTTAGACCAGCGGTAACAGAATAACATTTTATTTGGTATTAAACAGTCAATTAAACTCTTTCAATAATAATGAAGTAATACTGAAATGAGTAAGTGTTTGTTTCTTTGTAAATTTTATATTATTTGGATCTATTTTATCACTGGTTAATGTGAATTTTATTTTATTTGCCATCCAGTATTTTAGTATTTGCCTTTCTAAAATTTCCTCAATTGTCTTTCATTATGAACCCCAGCTATGCAAAGCAGGGGTCATGTCGTTATCTTGTTGTTTATTTTAACTATTTTTTTCAGAGACTTTAGATTAAAAATAGCAAGGAAACAGGTTCACTTAGCAAGAAAAAAGGTGCACATAGCAGCATGAAAGTCATGTGGCCGACCTACACTGCACCTGCAAACAGTTTGGTGATAGACCCCATATGGGGGCTCTATTTGANAGAAAATAAAAGCTGGCATTGGGAACTCTGGTCTCGTGCCCATCTTTTGAACTGAATCCAAAATGTCTTCAGTGTACAGCAAAAACAAGGGAATTTGACTTGTTCCCATACTGTTGGATGTGTCTGTATGTGTTGCTGTATTTGTCAAATAACTTTTATGTGAAATAAACAAGAAAACCATAATCATCCATCTTTGCTGTTTGGTTTCAGCAGCAGATCGTTTGAAGAAACAAGATTTTTTTAGAACATGAAGAAAACCTCTTGGGGCTTAAGAGTTTAATTCCTTTTCCACACTGATTGTCACGTTGTTGTATCTCTGATGCTGTAGGTTATTTCCACCAGAAGGTGGCAGTAAGATCTGCTTTCTCACTGTGTTGATACATTTTAATAGTTCTTAGCAGTTGTACACGTTGTGTTGTTGGTTGAGCCTTATTGTTCCGAAAACCATAAAAGTTTTATTTCACTTTTGTTTGATAAAAGCAAATATTTTACCGAGTGTTTTTTAATGAGGCATTTATTAATCACTTTTAATCTGGCAATAATCTGTGGGTTTGTGTTTTTACTTGTTTTTTAAAGTCATTTCTTGGTACTACCTTCTGATGAATGTACTTCTTCAGTTTGTTTGCAGCAGTTTTTTCTTCAAGATCTACACAAATAACTTGTAAGTGTTCAGACTGATGTCATTTGTGTGACGACAGACATTTCTCCAACTGAAACCCACACTGATGAGTGATATTTCTAGAAATGTTGACTTCCTTTTTAAAAAAAACGAGAAGAGGAAACATCAGATGAATACAGGACTGTTTGATTTTAAAATACTTTTGTGTTTAAACAAACAAAAGAAATTTTTTTCATTTGATCTGCTGCTGGTCATCTGAAGTTATTTGGTAAGAAACATTTCTGTAAATATATGTTGTGTCCCTGGGTAAGACACTTCACCCGCCTTGTCTGCTGGTGGTGGTCAGAGGGTCCGGTGGTGCCGGTGTATAGCAGCCCCTCTTCTGTCAGTTTGTGCTACAGCAGCTGTGGCTACAATGTAGCTTACCACCATCAGTGTGTGAATCTCTTTTGAGTCTTTGAATTTGATAAAATGCTGTAAAAGTTCAGGCTATTTACCATTTGTTCTACTTTTTATGTTAAATGAAAGTTTTTTTTTTTTGTAAATGCACCTTTTTCTCTACAGCTGTTTTTAGTTTATAACATCTGGTGGTAAACAAAGACTTACTGCTTTGAATTACAAAGTGATATGAACTAATCCGAATGCTTTATTTTAAATTTACATCAATTAAAAACTTGAAACCCAGAAATTTTTCCTTCATCTAGTTCTGAGTGCAGGAGTGTGATGGCAGCTCTGTGTGGAAACATGCTGACAGTCAGTGTGTTGCTGAGTGTCTTCTGTCTTTCAGGTGAGCTCTTTCTTCACTTTAATCACTTTTACTCTGAAATATTRGACTCTGATCTTGTTTAAAGGCTTCACATGTAACCTGCTGCAGCTCAGCTGGAGGTTATCATCAACTTTCTCTTTGGGGACATTTTGCTCCACATTGTGATCATCTTTACTCTGGTTTTACAGGAGCTCAGACTCAGTGTGGAAAAAACCCAGCCCTCTCCATCACAGCACCAAAACAGATGGAAGCTCTGAGTGGATCCTGTTTGCAAATCCCATGTAGCTTCAGAGAGAAACCAGGAGAAAACCAGTTTGGCAGCAACAGAGAAACATTTGGAGTGTGGATTAAAAGTGACCCAGCCTTTGAAAATAATCTAAATAATGTTGTTTTTAACAGCAGTAAAACACAAAACAGCTATAATATTACAATTACTGGAGACCTGAAACAGAGGAACTGCACCACTGTGTTTTATGATTTACATAAAGATCAAGCAGATAAATACTTCTTCAGAATTGAGAACAAACCATTTATAGCAACAGCTTCATGTGATCCTGTTCAAATAACAGTTAGAGGTGAGAGTTTTGTCCTTGTTTGTCTACATTGTTGTTCTGGATGAAAATGAATGAATGAAACAGAAGTACTTGACTTGTTTTTGCTTATTTTCTACACATCTGTGTAAAGTTGTTTAAATCTCATGTTTCTTCCTGTGTAAAATGTGTTTCTGATGTGAAAGCACAGATTCTGCTTGGAGGCCCAGAATTGAGATCTCAGCTGATGTGAAGAAGAAGAACTCTGTCACTATAACGTGCTCAGCTCTCACTCCCTGTCCACACTCACCTCCTGAACTCAGCTGGGATCATCAAGCAGACTCTCTGAGGCAGATGGAAAGGAACACAGATGGAAGCTTTACAAGTAAAATCCAGCAGAGCATCACTCTGTCAGACACACATGATGGATACAACATCAGCTGTTCTGCTACATATCCTGTTAAAGGTAAGACGGCAGAAAGTAAAGAGATTCTGTGTTTTATMTAAGTCACTCTGTCAGAACATCATCATTTAGCTGTTTCTGATTAATAAGTGTTTTTTTTTCCTTTAAATGTTTCCACAGACACCTCAGCTTTGATGTCAGCCGGTAGCTGGTTTTACCTGAGCTGCTCCAGCAGAGCCAAGTATCCCATCAACAGCTACACCTGGTTCTACATCAGCAAACATGTGGTCATCAAAGCAGCTGAAGGAGTCATGTTCTTCTATAACTGTGAGGTTCATGAAGGAGAAGATAAAGGTAATCTGCTCATGGATTTTTCTTCTGCCTTGTTACTTGTGTGTTTTTGATTTGGTGCCTCTGTTCTTTTCTGTGTCTAAAACTCTAAAGCTGAAACTTATTTATGGTGGCCGATGGGTGCAAATGCCTAAACCTGTCTCAAATGGTGAAACGCTGCAAACACATGACTGATGCAAAGTGCAAAACACAAAAAAACAAAATATGTGTGGAAAGCCAAATTAGTCACAAATGATCATTTTAACCATCTGTCTGGTTCAAAAATCATGTGAAAAAACAGTGTTTACAATCAGGGCACTGAAAAATACAACAAAAATCCCACCATAACACTGCTTAAAGACCACATTCTGAGTGGTGAAAAACTGTGGGGTTTTTTGGTCGATGACATCATTTTTAAATGTTTTTAATTTTACTTCACAAGCTATTCGAAGACCAGAAATGGTTTTTTAAGCAATTTACTACATCTGTCAACGTTTTCTTAAATTATGCAGGCCCAMTCTTCTCTTATCAATTTATTTATCGTCCAGTCAACTAATAGGAGAYTTACAGTTTCAGACCACACTGACTGATCACAGATCAACAGGCTGCACAGAGATTATTTTTTTACTATGTGTACTTGATCTATTCTACTCCATCACTCTTTGCTTCTGTACTCACTGTACTTTGCAAATTTATATTTTTAAAGTAAAATAAAGATGTAAAACTTGTGTTAGAAACAAGTGGAGACCTGAACTTTATTACAACATAGTATATACTAAATAAAACAGCCTTGAAATAAAATAATATCAAGAATTTGTCAACATTAATGTGTTTATTTATTCCAAGTTTAAGTAAAAAATAGTATCAGCAGTACTGTCCTCCACCTCTAGAGGGCACCAACATCTCAGCTAGATTACTCAACAGAAACTTGATCCACATCTGGACTTTGTACTCTGTGAAAGGAACTCAGCAGTATTTGCTAACTTAACCAACAACTTTACCTTTCTTCTTTATCACATTAATGTCTTTACTGAGGCCCATTAAAGACATGACTTGATGTTTAAATTTCCCAGTGGTCTTGCAGGGTGTCTCACTATAACCAGTTGAGCTGAAGGGGAGGGGAAAGTTTGAAACAGGCTGTAARTCTGAAAAGGTTTTTAGGATCATTTACAGTCAAACATATCAGTGACCTTTTACACAATATCATCAAATTATAGGTATTGTTGTTATCACTCTGAAGATCCTGGGAATTTTAATGCTCTGCTCTACCATCATCATCTTTGAGGGGTGAGACTCTATGAGTTTATAGTTTGGAGCTGTAAAGCTGTCAGTGTTTTTATAAAGTTTCATTTCATCTCTTTGACAATCAGGTGGTTTAGATCAAGATTCTCCAAAAAACAAGAGACGGTAAGAAATAACCTCCGACATTATTCCTTTCAGACGTCCTTATAAACAGGCTGTTATTAAATAATCTGAACCTGTTTAATTTCCTTTATGGTAGAAATATTATACAACATACATCTTCAGTGAACTAAAAACAAAATGTTGCTGTGGATTGTTTCTAATCCACACAGGGTCAACATTATACAGTACATACAGGCTCAAATATACACACATAGTAAATTTGATTTGGGCCAGTTCTGGACCACACTGTGCTCAATTGGCCCTCATACCACAAAAAATGACAACTCTTTGGTGGCCTGGATGTGGTTTGCCAGAGGTGATCCATGCAGGCCAACTGTGCACAGATCGGTGGCCCTGAGCTGACCCAGAGCAGTTCCAGTAGGACCAGAAGTCAGTCTAATGGGTCCATTTGTTTGTTCAATCATTCTTTTTTAAATTTTTTTTATTAGTTTTATGCTTTCACAAGTAGAGAAAATAGAACAAAATACATTGTACTGCCTAGAACCTTGCATGAGTATGTGAAGAAAAGCAAAACAGACAAAACAAAAAAAAAATAAAATAAAATAAAAGGGAAGCCGCCATACAATGTCAGAATTATGTCAAATCACATTTTCAATGGTCGGCAAACATTTATAGATATATTTAAAGCCTGACATCAGCACAAACATACCTAGCCGAATGGTAAAAGAAAGGAAGAGAAAGATGCATTATAATACAAAAGAAGGGTGTTTTTAGTTAAGACCTGGTGAGACCTTCCACACTGACTGTCAGACATGGGCAGGAAGTGGTTAAAAACAAAGAATGATCTGTTTCTTCTTGGCCTCCCTTCAAAATCAGTCACTCTGACAAATTCACATTTCAAACTTTGTGACAAATTATTGCTTCTAGGTAGAAGATGCATTTTAATTAATTGGATTAAGGATAAGCCTCCAACGGTCACACAATGGTATAAAGAAATATTTAGGGTCCTCCCTCATGAAAGGATTCATGCAGTTCTTAAGGGGAATGAGAAACYTTTTATTGATATGTGGTCTCCTGTGCTTTGCTATCTAAAGAGATAACGCAACTTGTGATGAGAGGTCAGAATCCTATAAAGTGCGAGGAGCAGGGTGCACCCTGGACAGGTCACATGTCCATTGCAATTGTCCTAAAACATTTCTTTAGAATTTTATAAGCTACTTTTAATATACTGGGCTCATAGGCTCAAACAGCTGCTACAGTTTTAGTTGTATTCATTTGGAACAGATGAAACTAACTATGCAGAATGTACAATATGATGATAATCAGAATGCATAAAATACTGGGAAGAGGATATGCAGATATGATTATTTTGCCGAGCAATGTGTTTTATTAAATCCTTAAAACTGATTGRGAAAAATTTAGCACATTTGAAAGCTTTACCTAAAATACCGCTTGTTGTCCACTCGGCTGCAGTACTAATGTAACAACAAAAAAACTATCTACTTTAATATAAATAACATTTATCTGCAGCTTAACAGCTTCAAAAATGTAAACCCATGTACAATCAACTAAGTAAAAAATTAAAAAAAATAACACACACACAAAACACATCAGCTCAGGGACTAAAATTAATGTTTTTTTTTTTTCTGGAATAAAGTTCTGTAGCTGGACGGCCCGCACCAGTTTTACACCTGTTACCATTTTCATACAGAGTCTTTGTAAATTATGTGCAGCTTGGCCATATTTTGTGTACTAGTAGTCATTAGTACATTGATAAATTAGCCTCAATGTGTTTTATTTCTGCAGGACACAGAGGAAGCAGACRACGTCAACAGAGTGACTGAGCTTTAAGCATCATGAGCTACAAAGAGACAACAAAGATGTCCTGATCCTTTAAAAAAAATCAGATTTCTGTTGTTTATGTAGTAAAATGTGACTTTACATGACTGGACATATTATTTTCAAAGCTAAAACAAAAGTCAACATCTGCAGGGATTTTTCTGTTCAGTTGTTCACTGTACATTGTTTCATTGCTTCTTAACATATCTGATTTATGCTAATCTACATAGCCTGGTTAAAACCAGACCRTGTCCTTCACTTTGCTTTGTATAGGGTCTTGACTTGATGCGTAGAGAAGTGATTCTTGCAGGAGGCGWGGCCTCTGCTGAAGCATGTGTGTGTTGTCGGTGTGACGGAGGCTAAGCTAAGAAGCTAACCGGAAATCACGTGTTGCTGTAAACAACCCTACTGAGAGGA